CTGGGATTCCAGGTGGTTGTAAATCATCCCAGTGAGTGCTGGGCTCGGGTCTTCTGCAAGTGGAGTACTGCTTTTAACAGGTGAGCCATCGCTCCAGCCCTTATTTTCAACATACTAAGTTATAAGGCAGAGAATCCAAACAGATGATATTATAGGTCTTTCTCCTCTGCCTTTCCATAAATTCATTCAACCCCCAGAATCAGGGGAGGCTTAGCCTACCTAACCTTGAAGGACAAAGCTAATACCTCTGGGGTAGGGCTGCTAAGGAGTCTGAGATTTTTGGGGTGGGCAGCAGTGGGGGCCACCTTGCAAATTAGAAGCATAATTTATGCCTATTCCTGGGCTTTTTCTTGCTCCAGCAAGGTATAGCTCAGAAGAGAGTGGGGGCTCGGTGAATATTCACTGAGCCTGAGTGCAGGAGGTGATGCTGGGTTGTGAGCATCTGCTCCCAGCCACATCCATTCTTTCTGTCTGGAATCTGGTCCTTGCTTTTCATCCCTGAATCAGCACTTCAGCCTCTTTAACCCTTGCACAGCCTTGTCACAGCCTCCATCTGCAGCCTGTTGCTCTCCTCACTTCAGCAGCCCCTTATCTTCCAGAAACATGGCTGACACCCCATGGCCTACCTAACCTGACCTGGGCTTGTGGCCATTGTGCCCGCTTGTGACATTCCCACCAGCCACAGACAGTCCAGGGACCTTTGTGGAGTTTTCCACATGGACTGTCTGGACCCCACACACTGACTGTCACACACACTGGCCTCTTTCATTCTTGCCTGATACTTGCCCATCAGAATGCCTTGTCTAGGCTTCACTTTCTGTCGGAAGACATCTGTGACAAGGTTATGCTTTCTCTGAGCTCCCGTGAACTTGACACCTCAACTCTCACATCTCAGGTGATTCAGTTTACCTGACTCTAAAGTTTACCAAATGTATCATCAGACTCTAAAGCAGCACTGTCTAACAAATATGATGTGAGTCACAAATGCAATGTAAAGTGTTCTAGATGCCAGGATAAGAAAAATAAAATGAGAGTCCAGAGAGACGGTTCCGTGAGTAAGTATACCGACCGCTGTGCAAGTCTGACAACCTGAGTTCAGTCCCCAGAACCCACGGATGCAGATGGACACACCTGTAATCCCTAGCACTCCTATGACAAGGTGGGAGGCAGAGGCAGAATTGTCTGGGAGCTTGATGCCCAGCTAGCATGGAATATGCAGTGCAGTCTTAAAGCAAGAATGGGAGGAGAAGATACACTCCTGACCTCCACACGCTAACCCTGGCATGCACACGCCCACGTTCTCTCTCTCTCTCTCTCTCTCTCTCTCTCTCTCTCTCATATACACATTTGCTCATGTACATTCTGTCTCACATACACATGATTTTTATTTATTTATTTGTTTTTTGAGACAGGTTTTCTCTGTTGCTTTGAAGGCTGTCCTAGAACTAGCTCTTGTAGAGCAGGCTGGTCTCGAACTCACAGAGATCTTCCTGCCTCTGCCTCCTGAGTGCTGGGATTAAAGGCATGCACCACTATGCCTAGAACAAATAATTTTATTTATTTATTTGGTTTTTCGAGACAGGGTTTCTCTGTGTAGCTTTGGAGCCTATCCTGGCACTCGCTCTGGAGACCAGGCTGGCCTCAAACTCACAGAGATCCGCCTGCCTCTTCCTCCTGAATGCTGGGTTTAAAGGCGTGTGCCACCAACGCCCAGCTCAAATAATTTTTTAAAAGTAAAATAAGACAGGTAAACTTAATTTTGTTTAACCCAATATATTAAAAGTGTTAATATAAAATTTCACCAATATAAAATTAATGAGGAATTCTGTATCATTAATATTAATGGGGTGTTTTGCATGCAGTGCCTTTAAAATCTACACACATAGTGTGTTCTTTAAAGCATGTCTCAACATGGACTAGCCATACCTTAAGTGCTCCATAGCCACACATGGCAGCAAGTGTCTACTGGGATAGATGGGGCCTCATGAACCTCTTAGCGAGGAGCCTGCCTCAGGCTTCCATGTGTGCATGAGACAGTGCAGAAGCCCTGGAGCTCTCAGCTCAGACCCTTAGCAGCTGTTACAGTGGCTGATCCCAGAGGGCCTCTGCTCTCTGATCTCTAAAGTGGTGAAGAAAACATTCAGTTTGGTTCAGAATGTTGATGTAAATTATGTATTTGTACAGATAAGCTTGTGGATTTTTATGGAGACAAGCCAAAGGTGAGGGAAGAGAGCCAGCTGTCCAGTGAGTACCTTGTATATGCAAGGACCAGCGCTTTCCCTGCATCCATTCCCTGGCCTCCTTCTCTGAGTAAATTTGAGGCTCACTTCCCATCTCCCCCTGGTTGCTCTGGCCAGAAGACTGTGGATGCAGCTATGGAGGGAGGGAGGGCTAATTGTCTGTAGAGGTGTGGCAGGGGGGTAGAGGGCCAGGGTTACTGCCAGTGTCACTTCTGCTCTCTGATCTCTGGCACCTAAGAGCTGGGCATCTGCTGGGCTCTCTGGCTCTGCCAGACTAGTGACCTGGGGCTCAAGTCTGCTTAGGCCACATGGATTGCATGGTCAAGGGACTTGGCTGTTGTCCTCTTCTTCCTACCCTTTCCCTGGAATATCTTGTCTTTCTAGGGACCCCTTTATCTGCCACCCAGATCTGAGTGAGTAGTGGTTATAGTATCACCTACCCCAGACAGGACAGGCATATGCTCTACCTCACCTCTGTATCCAGGGCCCAGGGCTGAGTGCAAAATGGGACATCCGAGGCACCAAAAACACAAAGCAGTATCTAAAAATAGTGCAGCAATGGGAGTCACAATGACTAGTGGGCTATAGTGTCTTCTACAGTCCATACAGAGCAGATGGTTTGGGACCAGCCAGACCCCAAGTCTAAGTCTAAGACATGGTGTCTTAGTGTTTTACTGCTGTGAAGAGACACCATGACCATGGAGCTCTTAAAAAAAAAAAACATTTAGTTGTGGCCGGTTTACAGTTCAGAGGTTTAGTCCATTGTCATCATGATGGCACATGGTGATGTGTAGGCAGAAATGATGCTAGAGAAAGAGCTGAGAGTTCTACAGCTTGATCCATAGGCAACAGGAAGTGAGCTGTGTCACTGGGCATAGCTTGAGCATATATGAGACCTCAAAGTCCACACTCAGAGTGGCACACTTCCTCCTATGCTATACCTACTCCAACAAGGCCACACACTACAGCACGAGGAACTGTACTAAATGTCCCAGTATTAGAAAGGTTGAGAACAACTAGAGTAGAGTCATGGAAGGTAGAAATTCATGTTTGCTTTATTAAGCATTTGCTGTGTGTACCTCATTGACCTATGGAGTGCCCATGGAGGACACTTCTGTTATCTCTAGGACAGATAAGAAACTGAAATTAGCCGGGTGGTGGTGGCACACGCCTTTAATCCCAGCACTTGGGAGGCACAGGTAGGCGGATCTCTGTGAGTTCAAGACCAACCTGGTCTACAAGAGCTAGTTCCAGGACAGCTCCAAAGCTATAGAGAAACCCTGTCTTGAAACACACACAGAAAGAAAGGAAGGAAGAAAGAAAGAAAGAAAGAAAGAAAGAAAGAAAGAAAGAAAGAAGCTGAGAAACTGAAATTGAGACTGTTTCAAAACTTGCCCAAAGTCACACACTGGTCTCCACATCTCACCCAGTGCCACAGCCAACTTCCCAGTTTCCCTAATCCTGCCATGACGAGCTCTGGCCAGACCCTTCTAGCTGCTGTATGGTTGCATTTCCCGAGGGAGTGGTAGGAGAGACCCATCCTGGCTTGCGTACTGGTGACCACTCCATTCCTGAGTGAACCCTGGAGCCTGGACACTGTGCACCTCTCAGCCACTCAATAGAACATGTTACTGTGCAGAGCAACAGCTGCTCCTGTCACCTAATGGGCCTCAGATGCTGTGTCTGTTGTCATACTCTGTCCTGACAGGACTGTGAGTTTAGACAGCACCTGCCTGGTACAGATGAGGAGGCTGAGGTGCAGGGAGGGTGCAGTGAATTGGAGGAGGTGAGGCTTTCACTGCGGTCTGCCACCTGTTGCAACTCAACACATCCCAGAGACATTTCTGAGTCCATGTGATGCTAAGCCCTGGCCTGTGGGACCAGGGCGGCATTGGTAGCCAAGTATCATCCTTAGCCTATCCCCATCCCTGCTGCACTGTGGAGTTTCTGTAAGGGCAGGGTCATGTGAGCGTGTCAGGTCCTGGGGAGGGTGGCTGAGTGAATAACATCAACAGTGGATAACATCAGGTCATAGGATGGCAGCAGCCCAGTCACCTCTCTGCCTGGCTCTGGGTTACTCAGACTGTACCCACATACAGAGAGTTATTCTCAATCTAGCTGCTGTGACTTTTAAGTGTTCACAGCCCAAGTCAACTATTGCTAAGTCCTGGGCAATCACAGACTCTATCCCCTACACAAACCCACTGTAGCACTTGAGTTATTTCTCGGAAAGGAAATTGTTGATCGCACAAGAGAGGGAAAGGGCATTTGGGGCAGAAAGAATAGTATGTGCAAAGGCCTCGAGGGAGGGGTCACTAAGTATCCTGTGTAACTCAGCTCATGACGGGAGAGTGGCAGGGCCAAGTCCTGGGATCCTCCATGGGAGCTGGAGCACAGTGCCACACCTGCTAGGGAGGGACAAAGCTTGTCACATTGTCTATGCCAGGATAGCAGGAGTTTAGCAAATCCCAGGCCCTGCCTTAGCATCCCTTCTGTGAAATAGGGGTGCAAATCCTCAGGACCCAGTCTGGTGGGGGTAATAGGCAGTTTTGCAGCCCTGACTAAGGACAGAGCTTCATGGCACTGCCATCACTGCAGAGGATATACCCCAATGAGAGATGGGAGCAGTCATCAAGCTCTCGAGTGGCCACTGTCTTAGCCTGCGAGGCGCCTATCATGACTTCCAGTGGCCATAACTATATGCCCAATGTATGTGACATGAATCACCTGGCACCAAGGTGGGCCTGAGCCACTCCTCCAACAGGCACCATGGCCAGCAGCAGGGGCCTACCACTCCTGCTGCTGTTGCCACAGCTGCTCCTGGGCCCTGTACTGGCTGTGAGGGCACCTGTGTTTGGCCAAAGTGACACCCACAGCCTGAGCCCTGAGGAGAATGAATTTGTGGAGGAGGAGCAGCCTGTGCTAGTCCTGAGCCCTGAGGAGCCAGAGCCCGGCCCAACCACCATCAACTGTCCCCGAGATTGTGCCTGCTCCCAGGAAGGCGTTGTAGACTGTGGTGGCATTGACCTGCGTGAGTTTCCAGGCGACCTGCCGGAGCACACCAACCATCTGTCCCTGCAGGTGAGGCTGATGCTCCTCCAGCAGGTACCCCTAGCTGCCAACTCAAAGCCTTCAACATAGTTGCACAACTCCCTTCTTACCCAGAACCTCCAATATTCACAGTCTCCCCAATGCCCCCCCACCCCCAGATTCAGGGTAGCAAGGCAGACCAGACCCTATGGTACCAATGATGCCCTGGTTACAGAGCCCTGAGATATAGCCTGCTTGTTCATGGAGGAGTCTGGGATGTTCAGCTTATAGAGGAAAATGTCTCACCAATGGCACAGAGTTGCCCAGTGATTGGATTGATAGGGACACCACTGACACTATTACAGGACTAGGAAAGCCAGGACCAAGGGACCCAGCTCCAGGAGGCATTGGCACTATTGGCCTCAGGAGAGAATTCCAAGGCAGGTGCCCAAGAGAGGGATGCTCCTGGGGCCCGGAGTAGGTATGGAACCCTCATGTACTATCCCTGAACTGCTGCTGCCACCATCTCCCCACAGAACAACCAGCTGGAGAAGATCTACCCTGAGGAGCTGGCTCGGCTGCAGCGCCTGGAGACGCTCAACCTTCAGAACAACCGCCTGACTTCCCGAGGTGAGGGAGGCATCTCTGGAGCTGAGGTACTGGCTCAGGGACCTGGGACACGGGGCCTCAGTGGCCCGAGAGGCATGGTGGCCACGGGGAGAACTCACCCTGTAGACCCTGGGGTGAAGGGAAGCCCTAGCTTGGGTTGGACTCTCTGATGTAGGCCTGAACCTGTGGTGAGTGTCTGAGACCCAGAAGGTGAGGTCTGGGGCCTTGAGAGCACAAGCTTGCTGGGACCTTGTCAAAGACTCTCCAATTTGCAAGGACCCTTAGTGTTCAACATTCTTAAGTTGTTTTTTTTTTTTTCTCCTGAAGACAGATGTAATACATAATTGGGATAGAACTTTCATAAAACAAAGAGGAAGGGGGGGAAAACCCATAATCCTACCACTTAGAATTAATCAAATTAAGATTTCGGTATTCTCCCTTCCCACATTAAAAGAAAACAGCTTTGTTGATATGAAATTTATGTGCCATAAGTGACCCAGTTTAAAAGTCCAGTCCAATTTGATGTGTTTTGGTGAGTTTATAGTGTGTAGCTGCCTCTGTGATCTGCAGTCATTCATCTTAGGTTTTAAAGCCACAGCTGAACCCCTGCAATCACGGTGGCAGCCTGCTTTGTTTTACTTAGCAATTTGTTTCTCTCACTGCTGTTGCTAGAGCTCTATCTGGCTGTCACGTCACACTCCACAGCAGGGTATTCCTTGGAGAGACAGCACATGGTTTATGTAACTGTTCCCTCTCTTTTGACTTGGGCCAGTCCCAGCATCTGGGGGTCCTGGAGCAGGAACTGGATGTCAGAGGCCAGCTCAGGGCTGGAGAAGGGCCAGTCTAACTGGTCTCCTCACAAGCCAGCTGTCTGAGGGGACCAGGGGTGAGGCCTTCCCTGCACAGAGCCCTTCCCAGCTTGACTGCACCTGCCTGTAGGTGGAGCTGAGACTGAAGAGGGGCTCTGACCCCCCCCTGCAGCCATCCTCAGGGGAGCACTCCTTCCTGTTTCAAAGGGTTAGGCTAGGTCACTCGGTCCCTCGCACGCACTTAGCTGCTTGCTTCTATGCTTGGGCCATGTGATGAACACTGAAACTGATTGGGAAGGGAGGGAGCTGCCTAGCAAGTGGGTGGTTCTCTTGCTTCCCTGTAGTATCTCCTTCATCCAGGGCTCTGATCTGTCCTTTAAAGGGCTCCCAGAAGAGGCGTTTGAGCATCTGACTAGCCTCAATTACCTGTACCTGGCCAACAACAAGGTGAGGGCCGTGGAGGGCAGGCGGGCTTCCCTGGGGTGGGCAGGCCTCCTGGTCCTCTTGGCTCTCTCTTCCCTTGAGCTCTGTGATTGTTCCCCAGTGCCCTTTCCAGCCTGGCCTCTGGGTCCCTGTTACCCTGGATGTTGAGAAGGGGACCATATAAGTCCAGGAATTTGAGACAAGCCTGGACACAAGGAGACATGTGTATAGAAGTAAATAATGAACAGAAAGGATGGCGGGAGTGCCACTTGCCTTCCCTCCACCCAGAGCAACTTTTCAAATTACACTGTTTCTTCTGCCCCCAACTCCCTTCCCCAGGAGCCCAGGAGTGTGCAGACAGGTGCAGGGGCTCTGACTGCCAAGCTAAGGGCTATGGGAGCTGGGCACATCTGTTCAAAAGACAAGCTTCAACATTAGAAAAGTGGCTTTGGTGTCGAGGAAGAGCCAAGGGAAGGGAGGCAGGTGAATACCCAGTGGCAGGGCCCAGAGTGAGTCTCTACTGGTCTCTCTGCCGGCTCTTTCCTTTCCAGCTGACACTGGCACCCCGATCCCTGCCAAACGCCCTGATCAGTGTGGACTTTGCTGCCAATTATCTCACTAAGATCTATGGACTCACCTTTGGCCAAAAGCCAAATCTGAGGTCAGAAGTCAGAAGGATGATCCTGGGTGTGTGGGAATGTATGTGTGTTGGGTGAGTGTGGGGGTTTGGGGGAAGCCAAGGCAAAGAGGAGACACAGGCAGGCCCTGAGAAGGGGCTAGCTAATCTGTGAGCTATGGGCTGTGCTCGGGGTGTTGGAGGAACACCCAGGCCTAGAGGAGCTCCGGATCCAGGAAGCTGAGACCTGAGACAGGAGGTCTCCATCCAGTAAATGAAGAATGAGAGCGTATGCATGGGAGTGGTGGGGTCTGAGAGCAGCTTCCAGCAGGCAGAGCTGCCCTTCTTTGAACTTGCTTAAGGAGGTGGACTACTCCCAGGACCTCCACACTGGACTTCAGATGAAGGAGTCTGGGCTGGGACCAGGAAGTCCTGTTTCTGCCACTGATGTATGTGGTGACCTCTGGCAGGGTGCTGAGCCTGTGCTCCCTGTCCCTGACCATAGAGGGGGCTCTGAAGCTTTGTAGCTCCACATGCCTGGGTTAAGATGGTAGAAAAGTTCCCCGGGGCTTGGGTAAGAGTTTGAAGGGACACTGCAAAGGTGGCCTAGGGCCGGGGAGCCCAGGTGGGGTGAGGACTGTCCCTCAATCCTGCAGGTCTGTGTACCTGCACAACAACAAGCTTGCAGATGCCGGGCTGCCAGACAACATGTTCAATGGCTCCAGCAACGTCGAGATCCTCATCCTGTCCAGCAACTTCCTGCGCCACGTGCCCAAACACCTGCCACCTGCCCTGTACAAGCTGCACCTCAAGGTGGGGACAGAGAGGGCAGATGGGGGCAGACCCATGGCCAGACACACACTGCTGAGGGAGAAGCATGGCCCAGTAGAGTATCTGAGAGTTCATTGCAGGAGTATTAGCCACCTAGTGGGGCAGGCAGATGTCTGGGCACCTGACCGTCAGTGTGGGTTTGAGGGGACCATCAGCACACCCAGATGCTGCAGGTCTGACTCCCCTCCTGGTAGCCCCCAGGTTTCTCTGTGCATCTCATTCTGAGGCCTGGTTCTTGCCCCTGCCTCTCACTTTGCCCTCTCCCTCCCTCCCTTTTCTTCTAGAATAATAAGCTAGAGAAGATCCCCCCTGGGGCCTTCAGTGAGCTGAGCAACCTGCGGGAGCTGTACTTGCAAAACAACTTCCTGACTGATGAGGGCCTGGACAACGAGACCTTCTGGTGGGTCCCTGTATCACCGCATCCTTCTCATCAGCATGGCACCAGGCAGTCTCAGCTGGTCCCAGCTGGGCACAGTCATTTGTCTACTTTCCTTGGCTGCTTTCCCTGGAGACAAAACTTTGGGGCTTGTGTCTGTTGCCATTTCTGTCTCTGGGGACAAGTCAAGTGTATAGATAAGGCCTGCTGAGATGGCAGGTATGCGTGGGGTGTGGGCTCTTGCTTAGCGTCTCAGTCCCCTCCTTTATCCAGGAAGCTCTCCAGCCTGGAGTACCTGGACCTGTCCAGCAACAACCTGTCGCGGATCCCAGCGGGTCTTCCCCGCAGCCTGGTCCTGCTGCACCTGGAGAAGAACGTCATCCAGAACGTAGATGCTGACGTGTTGACACCCATCCGCAGCCTTGAGTACCTGCTGCTGCACAGCAACCAGCTGCGGGCCGAGGGCATCCACCCGCTGGCTTTCCAGGGCCTCAAGCGGCTGCACACAGTACACCTGTACAACAATGCGCTAGAGCGCGTGCCCAGTGGCCTGCCCCGCAGAGTTCGCACTCTGATGATCCTGCACAACCAGATCACGGGCATAGGCCGTGAGGACTTCGCCACCACCTACTTCCTGGAAGAGCTCAACCTCAGCTACAACCGCATCACCAGCCCACAGATGCACCGGGATGCCTTCCGCAAGCTACGCCTGCTGCGCTCCCTTGACCTGTCTGGCAATCGCCTGCAAACCCTGCCTCCGGGCCTGCCTAGAAATGTACACGTGCTGAAGGTCAAGCGCAATGAGTTGGCTGCCCTGGCTCGTGGGGCACTAGCTGGCATGGCCCAGCTACGGGAACTCTACCTCACAGGCAATCGACTGCGTAGCCGGGCCCTAGGACCCCGTGCCTGGGTGGACCTTGCTGGTCTGCAGGTACTAAAGGACTGGGCCAGATGGGGCACAGGGAGGAGAGAGGATGGTGGACCTACTAGGATGGCTGCCCTGAGCCTACGCAGCTACTGGGATGAGGGACAATTGTGCCAGGAGTCAGGTTGCTGTGGGTTAGCCAGACTGAGCTAATTCACCTGCTTGGGAGGCTGACTTAGGGTGGGAGGGGTGTGACCATGGGGTCCAACCTACCTGTAGGGGCAAAGGCAAAGGGTGGAGTGAACACAGGAGCCTGTGTCTGGGTTGGCCAGGCCAGGTCACCACAGGCAGGCCCAGGCTTGAGAAGGGTGGTAAAGGTAAGATACAGCCACGGCGGCAGATCAGGGTCCCTAGTTCAGGACGACTAGGGGCAGTTTGGGCAGCATGGGCCCAGTGACCTGATGCACAGAAGTAGCTGCCTGCAGAAGGCTGGGCCTTGATGTTGGAGGTTGGGGCATTGCTCATGTTGATCTTACCAGTCAGCTGACGGCCAGGGTGGGGGTGGGGCTCAAGGCACTCAGGGGCCAATCATCAGCACGGCTGCTATGACTATTCAAGAAGAACCTCTCATGTGAGGTGAGCAGTGAGCAGGTAAAATTTATCAGAACAGCAGCTCTGTTCCCTCCCAGAGCCATCCTTCATGACAGAAGCTGAGACCCTCCACACTGTCCCCTCTCCCACGGGCCTCCTCAGAGCCTGCTTAGATGCCACGTTTGAGGTCTTTCTCTGCATTGTTTTTCTTTATAAGCTTCATCCGTTAGTTCCGTGGGTTACCAGTTACCTGTATTCTGGGTGGAAGGAGAGGCCCACGTTTTTGTCTGACGTGCTCCACTTGCTGTGGTGGTGGGACTTGACATCAGGATTGGGGTGTCTTCAAAGAATACTGGGGAGAGGTGGGGGCAGAGAGAGTCCAGGAGGTACCCTGAGCTGAACAGGGTGTGATGGGTGAGGCCGCTGGTTCTGCAGCATGGCTGGGTTCTCTCCTCGCCCAGGCTACCCTCCTGAGAATCACACCAGAGTCCAGCCTCCGTGCTGCCCTTAAAACTATTCCTCAGGAGCTGTCTTGGCTCCAATCCTCCACGCCTGCTCCCTCTTGTTGCATTTTCTAACTAAGGGGGAAGGCCCAAACCCACCCAGGGAAACTTGTAAGCTGCACTTGGCATACTTCTTTTCTGTTGCCAGCCTCGGACAGCCTGGCAGCTCCTACCCCAAGTACAGCTCTCCATTCAGGCTGCTTATACTCCAGGCCAACCCCCCTGTTTCTCAACTGGACCTCACCTTCCTAGGATCTCGCCACTCCCATACTTGAAGAGCGCCTGTGCACACAGGCCCCAGTCTTCTGCTTCCTTGAAGTCTCAGGCCATACTCCCTGCTGTGGGTTTCAAGGCTCCCTCTGCTCCCGCTCAGGCATACACCAGCCCTTCTACTGGAAGCACTCTGCCTGCCTTGCTTGCTGGAGACATCTGTTCATTTGTTCTTTTGTTCTTTCATTCATCCTATAAGTGTGGAGGAGTCCCCACATTGTACTAGACACAGTTCTACAACTGGAGATCCTGTGAGAAAGAGAGGGGGCACCGCCCTTGTTGGGGTATACATAAGACTCAATAAGACTCAGCTTTTGTGTCATCTTGCCTAGGAAACACTCTTACCCGGTAGCAGGGACAGGCAGGTCAGACACTTCCCTGAGCCTCAGCCTGGGTGTCTGGGGAGCAAGCAGGGGTTCTTCCTCACACTGTGGGTCTTTTGATAGGTAATGGCTCCTTTTCTCTCCAATCTACCCCATGCTAATGCCCTGGAAATCACTTCCTGTATTGAAGCTGGTTGAGGCCTTTTACCACTCCATTACAGCCAAGCCTGTGGCTTGTTTTGTCAGGCTCTGGTCCATCCACACAGCCTGTCTGGCTTCCGAGAGTGCGATGGTGTCTCATGGAATCCATGTCCCCAGCACCCTTGGGCGCCAACCATCTCTGGAATGAATGAGGGAGTGGCAAAGCTGAGATTGGGGAGGGTGCCAATGGCTGTGGAGACAATGGGAAACAAGAAGCCCTGTGAGCAGAGAAGGTGATAGAGTTGGAAATTTGGGGTTCTGCTGCAATCCTGATGCTGGCTTACCGAGATGTGTGAGATCTGGGAGCTGACCCCCCAATCCCAGCCTCTCAGGGCAATGAAGGAGCCTAAAGATCATGCACTCCTGTCCCATGGCAGCACTAGTGTGGGGCTGGAGAAGGTGCATTGGCACTTGAAGGGGCAACAAGGGTGAGCACAGAGCCAGTGTGTACCAGGTCTCCTGCCCCACTATGGCTCCTGGGCTCCAGGCATGAGATGGCTCTAAGCCTGTGCTCTGCTTGCTGTGCCAGGGTTTCTACAAGCCTTGTGCCTGTTCTCCTGGCCCCTGCACATGTGACCTGCACACGTGGGTCCTGGCGTGTCTAGGTTGATGGAAGTGACAGTTGGATTAAAGAGGAAAGGCTATGGCATGCAAGCAGCTTGGCTTTGCAAAGGCGGGAGGGGCTGGGTGGGATCTACATCAATTAGAACAAATATGTGGGGTCTGGTATTGCATGTTCCAGCCTCTTCCAGATGGATTAACCTTGATGAACTGTTTCCCCACCCAGAAAATGTGGATTGTCAGACACCCCAACACACACACACACACACACACACACACACACACACACACACACACACACACACACACAAAGAGACT